ACCCGCTGTGCCACAGTGCCAGCCCCAATGGGTGTGTTTTCTTGTTGACTAAGCATACTTTTTCTTACCTATGAAGCAGATGGGAGGGATGAAGGGAAAAAAAAGGAGAAGATGAAAACGAAACTAGGAAAACATAGATGGGTAAATGAAAAAGGAGATGAAGAAGGCAAAGAAAGATGAACTGCCCATTACATGGAGCCCTCCTTCCTTGGGTTTCTGACCAGTGTACACCAATCACGTGGTATTTCCAGTTTTCACAGCCCAAGTGCAAGATCCAGGCTTCACCTCCCTCCATGTTCTATACAAAAATACAGCTCTATCATATTTAAAACTGTTTTAAAAAAAATTATGATTCTAGGGGCCAGCTCCGTGGTGCGGCAGGTAAAGCCGCCTGCAGTGCCAGCATCCCATGTGGGTGCCAGTTCAAGACTCGGCTGCTCCACTTCTAATCCAGCTCTCTGCTATGGCCTTGGAAAGCAGCAGAAGATGGCCCAAGTCCTTGGGCCCCTGCACTGGCATGGGAGAACTGGAAGAAGCTCCAGGCTCTTGGCTTTGGATTTGGCCCAGCTCCAGCCATTGCAGTCAATTGGGAAGTGAACTAGCGGATGGAAGGCCTCACTCTCTGCCTCTGCCTCTAACTCTCTGTAACTCTGATTATTTAAATAAATAAATCTTTTTAAAAAATTATGATTCTATTGTCCACAGAAGCCATCTGTGTCTCCCTAACAGGAAACTCTTGTTCTTTAAGTTCATCAGCAGAAACAGATCTCTGCTGGGTGCAGCTTAATTGCAAGGGAAATATTTGAGGTATCTACCAATAACAATTATATATTTTTAAAATATTTATTTATTTACAGAGAGAGAGAAAGAGAGGGAGAGACAGAGAGAGAAATCTTCCATCTGTTGGTTCACTCCCCAATACCTGTAATGGCCAGAGTCATTACATAAAAGCCAGGAGCCAGAAACAACTTCTAGGTCTCCCCAGTGGGTAAGGGGCAAAGCACTTGGGCCATCTACCTCTGCTTTCCCAGGGCATCAGCAGGGAGCTGGATCAGAAGTGGAGCAGCCGGGACTCTAACTCTAATGCCCACATGGGATGCCGGTGTCACAGGCAGAGCCTTAACCTATTAAGCCACAGCGCCAGCCCAACATTCAGATTTTAACATGGATATTTTATGACAATGCTCTAATGCAAAGGCATTTTAGAATTCATGCTTAGAGGACAATCTCATGCAAGCAGGAATAAAACAGAGCTTGGGGTACACTTTCAAGTTATCAAATAGAAATAGTAATTTTCAACTTATCAAATAGTATTATTAGAGTAATAATGACTATTTTAATTTAAATTTATTAACGAGAGAGAGAGAGAGAGAGAGAGGTCTTCCATCCACTGATTCACTCCCCAAATTTCCCCAAATGATGGGGCAGGATCAGGCTGGAGCCTGGAGCCAAAGACTCAATTTGAGTCTCCTCAGTGTATTAGGGAGTTAGAATCATGAGCAGAATTCGGACTTGAACCCAGGCACTCTGGTATGGGATATGGCTGTCTGAACTTGCAGCTTAATTTCTAGGCTGAACAGTTACCTCTCTATATTTTAAATGGTTTTACAGACTACAGTTTGTCTTCATTTAAAGTGTACTGAATTTGACCCTTTTACAACTGGATGAGAGTGATATATTCTTATTCTACAGGTGAAGAAACCAACTCAGAGATAATAAGGAATCAGATTTAAGAGGTGCAAAGCAAAGACTTGAACACAGGTATTATGATTACAAATATGGTGCCCTTTTTTTTTTTTTTTTTTTGACAGGCAGAGTGGACAGTGAGAGAGAGAGACAGAGAGAAAGGTCTTCCTTTGCCGTTGGTTCACCCTCCAATGGCCGCCGCGGCCGGCGCGCTGCAGCTGGTGCACTGCGCTGATCCGATGGCAGGAGCCAGGTGTTTATCCTGGTCTCCCATGGGGTGCAGGGTCCAAGCACTTGGGCCATCCTCCACTGCACTCCCTGGCCATAGCAGAGAGCTGGCCTGGAAGAGGGGCAACTGGGGTTCCCTTTCTATACTTGCCTTCCTGGGCATGGACGTAACCCTGAAAACCTGAGATCCAATCATGTTAAGGTCAAACACGAAGTTGCTGTTGGTAAGAATATAAAGCTAACAAGAAATATAATATGGGTTAATCTATCACCATGAAGTGGCAGATTTAATTCCCTTTAAAAACTAAAACCAAATCTAAAAATGTAACTTTTGGATTCAAAAAAGTTTTTTTTAATCAATTCCTTCCAGGCTTGCAGACAAACTCCAAAGGCAATGAAATCTGTCTGCAGCACTACAGCCAAATTATAGTAGTTAATCATCCATTTAAAGACTTGTAGCAAAAACACAGTGTCAAGAACTAAGAGGACTATTTTGTGTTGATTGCCCTAGTAGAAGAGTACTGCAGAGCACCTTGTAGTAGCCTTTTAATTTAATTCTTTCATCTATTTGAAGTTTATCCTGAAATACAGACATTACATTATAAAAACTCTGGTAGAAATCTTCCCATTACATGTCCTTGGGTCTGTACAGGATACTTTTTTGTTTGGAGTTCATTGACACAAGCCTAAATCAGAGTTCAGTCACCATAGGTTGTCAAAATCATTGTGTTCTAAGATCCACTACTTCACTCTTAATCCTTGCCAAGCATCATGGGTAAACATGGTATTTGCTGGAAGGGGTGATTGAATAAGTTGGGAGAAGAGCAAGGCAAATGCATAACAATAATGGGGCATGACCCACAGACCCACATTCTTGTTCTCAAGGTGTTCCTGGGATTTATTTTTCCCATTGCAGACCTACTGAATATGAAATATGGCAATCTGCGTTAATCAGGTGATCTTCTTGTAGGCTAAAGCTTGAGGACATCTAAGTGGACCACTAGAGACAGCAGCTTAAAATTTAAAAGATACTATTTTTAATTTCCAGGGAGTTTTAAAAATTTCATGGAAAATGGAATTAAGAGATAAGTCTATTTTGGTGCAATAAATCTTAAAATCCGTGCATATGAGGGGTCTTCAAAAAGTTCAAGGAAAATGGATATTATGAAAACTATACATGAATTTCAAATGTTTTATATTAAAATAACCTTTTCTTTTTATATTTAAAAATATTTATTTACTTTCAAAAATATTAACAATTTCTGATTAACAGTAATTGTACACAGTTATAGGGTACTATGTAACATTTCAATACATGAATATGATGTGCACTGATCAAAGCAGCATAATCAACATTTCCCCTTCTATGTCATTATTTTATCTGTAGAGGCTTGGATCTCTTCTCTTCTGTTTGCTCAGAAAATATATAACAGGTTATTATGAACTATAGTCACTCTATTACTATATACCAGGAACTTCTTCCTTCTATCTAACTTTATCTCCCACTTCAGCTTCTAGTAATTACAATTTAAATTCAGATTGAGCTTTGTTAGCTTCAACACGAGGGAGTATGTGTGGTATTTCTATGTCTAGCTAATTTCACTTAGCATAATGTCCTCCAGATCCATACATTTGGCTGCAAATGACAAGATTTCATTCTTTGTTACAGCTGAATAATATTCCATTGTATATAAATACAACATTTTCCTTGACCTTTCATCTGATGATGGACATCTTTGTTGATTCCATATCTTGGCTATTGTGAATAGTACTGTCATAAACAGGGCAATGCAGCTAACTCTTGGATATAATGATTTCATATCTTTTGGAAATATACCCAGTAGAGAGATTGCTGAATCATATGGTAGTTTCATTTCTAGTTTTTAAAGTATTCTTTGCACTGCTTTCCATAATGTCTGTACTATTTACTTTGCACTGATTGTGTATGAGCGTTCCCCTTTTTCCATTTCCTCATCAGCTACTGTTATTTTTGCCTTTTTGATAACAGCCATTTTAACTGGAGTAAGGTGATACCAACTTGTGGTTTGAATTTTCATTTTTGTGGTAGCTAATGATATTGAGCATTTTTTCATATATTTGTTGGCTATTTGTATTTCTTCTTCTGAGAAATATCTACTCTGGTCCTTTTGCCTACTGGATTGGTTGGTTATGTGTTACTAAGTTTTGAGTTTTTTCTTTTTTAAAGTTTCTTACAAATTCTATATAGTAATCCTTTGTAGGAGAAGTAGCTTGCAGGTATTTTCTTCCATTCTGTTATTTGGTTGTCTATTCATGCTATTGTTTGTCTCCTTTGCCATGTAGAAGCACCTTATTTTACATATATATATATATATATTCATTTTCTCAGCACATATATATTATGTTTATATTCATTTTTCTCAGAACAACTTATTGAAGAGAATACCCTTTCTCCAATGTTATGTTTTTGGCACTTACATAAAAAATCAGTTGTGTTACATTAATCTATGTGTCAGTTTTCTAAAAATTCATTTTATTTGAAAGAAAGAGAATATATATTGGTGGGCAATTAGATAAGATATGGAAAAGCTGAGAGTTGAACCAAGCCCTCTGATGTGGGATGTGGGTACCACAAGTGTCAGTCTAGCAATTCTATATGAAATGTAGGGATATTTTTCTACTTCTGTAAATAAAGTACTCTTGTATAACAATACTATCTGCTATATGTTTATGTGCTTTCAAAACACATATGCTGAAATACTAATCTCCAACATGATGGTGTTAGGAAGTGTGGCCTTTAGTAGGATATAGGCATCACAATGGGATTAGTGTCTTTACCTGTAAAACAGACCTTAGAGAACTCTCATCCCTTCTACCAAGTGAGTACATAAAGAGAAGACAGTTGTCTATGAATAGAGAAGCAGGCCCTCAAAGACACCAAATTTACGAGGACCTTGATTTTGAATTTTCCAGCCTCCACAAATGTGAGAAATATTTTGTTGTTGTTTAAACCACCCAAAAAAAATTTTTTGTTGTTGTTATAGCAGCCCAAACGGAGTACTAAACTGTTGTATTACAAAATATGCTTTGAAAACATGACTCCTTACCACATGCCCACATATCCACTGGCTTTCCATAAGGATCTTTACGTAAAACTTCTGGAGAAAGATATCCAGGTGTCCCAGCAAAACCTAGAGAAAACAAATGTTAATAGAGTTGACTTGACAGAACCATAAGAAATGGAAAACTAAGAAAACATTTTTGTGCCACTTTATCTGGTGATGTGTATCAAAACAGTAAAGATTCTCAGAGTACTAGAATAGTGTAGACTAGTTTTATTGTATTGCAAAATCAATGCTAATCTGTTTTGCCTTGTAGCTTATTTTTAAAAAAATATCAATTTATCCAGGTATGGGGTCCAATTTACTGTGCTGCATAGTCATTTTGTATACTGAAGACTTGTTTTGGTTAGCAGTTTTTATTGTCACTACTTATACTGAAGCTAAACTAAAACTGGAAAGAGGTAAGCAAAAAATTAAAGATGGAGTTATTCATGCTAAACATGATAGTTATTATATGTAAATATTTATTATGAAAATGAAACACCTATAAATTGGAAGGGCCCAAAACATAGATCTGAAGAACACATTTGAAGCAAATATTCAATAAATATTTTTGAAAGTGGGAAGTCTATTGGGGGTAAGACTAAGAGTGGTGAGTGGGATTAAAAGTAACTGCAGGACTGAGCAGGAAGAGATGAACCCCCATATCAATCAAAGAGTTCACAGTGTACTAATAAATAATCCTTGGGTACTTGTAACTGGAAGCTAAAGAGAAGACTCTGGATCATTTACTGAATCCCCAATGAACACCAATAAGCTAGATTTCCAAACTTAAGATGAAGATGCGATAAGAAAAGCTAAATGGCAAAATGAAATCATATATAAACCACAGCAGAATGCAATAAAGTATACTGATGTAACAATTAACATAGAACTAGAATCTAAATGAGATATTTCTTAGTTCTGAATATAATAGTTTTTCAAATAAAAACATTTATTCTAGAAATACCAAAACTACTATTCTTACTCGAAAGTTTTCTTTAAAAGCACAAAAATCCAGAAGCAATTTTTAAGAGGATATGTAATCAGGGATTGCTCTGGTCACAAATCACTGATGAGGCACACTGTACATTGTTGGGATATAAAATGTCCAAGAGAGGAAATTCTTTTCCATGATTTCTGTGAAAAAGTTATGATCATATGAAGTAAAAAGCAGTATTTCAAGAGGTTATGCTTTATATAACATAAATTAGAAAATTAGGCAAGGTGGGGGCCAAAACTGTGGTGCAGAGGGTTAAGCCACCACTCGCGAAATAGGCATCCCATATCAGAGTGCCAGTTCAAGTCTAGGCTGTTCTCTTTGAGATACAGCTTGAGATTAGATCCTGCTAATGCTCCTAGGAAGGCAGTAGAAGATGGCCCGAATGGAAGCTAGAATGGAGTTCTTGGATCCTGGCCTTGGCCTGACCCAAACTTGGCTCCTGTGACCATTTTAGGAGTGAACTAGATGATGGAAGATGTCTCTCTCTCCCTGACACTTTGTTTTTCAAATAAATAAATAAAATAAAGCTTAAAAAAAGAAAATGAGGCAAAAATTTGAACTCAATCTTTTTCAAATGATATATATATTTCAAATTATACAATATATATTTCAAATTATATAATATATATATATATACAGTTATGTGTGTGTATATATATATATATATACATATATATATATATATATTTCCACTCATTTTCATACCTATATTTTCCTTTCAGTGTTTTAGAGGAAGATGGAGTGGACATTGAGAAGGGATTCAAAGAAAAACCTGGATGTTGTAGCTTAAGCTTTACTCAGATCATCACTAACCTACCTCTACTTCAAATTTTATTTGAAAGAAATGTTTGATTGGTAGTTGTGAGGTAAAAAGAATTACTGAGCCATTATGATTGGTTTTACTGCCTAGAGTTTAAGAATTACCTGAAAGTCTGATGTGGAGTTAGTTAGCTCCAAGGTAGGGAGGGATGAATACAGTTATTTGGAAGAGCTTCCCAGAGTTTGTAGGATACTGCACATGCCTTCCTTCTTCTTCTTTTTTTTTTTTTTAAGATTTATTTTATTTATTTGAAAGACAGAGTTACAGAAAGAGAGAGAGAGATGTCTTCCATCCGATGGTTCACTCCCCAGATGGCCACAAAGGCCGGAGCTGTGCTGATGCGAAGCCAGGAGCCAGGAGCTTCTTCCGGGTCTTCCACGTGGGTGCAGGCGCCCAAGAACTTGGGTAATCTTCTACTGCTATCCCAGGCCATAGCAGAGAGCTGGATTGGAAGAGGAGCAGCCGGGACTAGAACCAGCGCCCGTATGGGATGCCAGTGCTTCAAGCCAGGGTGTTAACCAACTGAGCCACAGCGCCACCCCTCCTTCTTTCTTTTTAATTAATTAATTAATTTGAAAGGCAGAGTTACACAGAGGCAGAGGCAGAGGCAGAGAGAGAGGTCTTCTATCTGCTGGTTTGCTCCTCAAATGGCCACAACAGCTGGAGCTGGGCCAATCCAAAGCCAAGAGCCTGGAGCTTCTTCCCTGTCTCCCACATGGGTTCAGGGGCCCAAAGACTTGGGCCATCTTGCACTGCTTTCCCAGGCCAAAGCAGAGAGTTGGATCAGAAGTGGAGCAGCTGGGACCTGAACCAGTGCCCATAAGAGATGCTGGCACTGCAGGTGGTAGCTTTACCCACTACACCACAGCACTGGCCCCTAACACATGTTCTTTCCATTCCTATCATCCCTCTCTAATTCCTCCCATGATGAGACACAGAAATACAGAATCTAAAGAGAGGCTGCTGTCCACATCCAGATCAAAGTCAGTGTGTCAAGACCCTTTGCCAGAATCAGTTGGTTCCTCCCTATTCATCCAGTATCATTTCATTTTTTTCTAAGCACTAGACTGACGAGTTTTTAAGACTCTTAATTATGGACTTCTCATTCTCACCCTTGATGTTACTTTCCTTCCTGTAAATCCTCAATTTTTTTCACTACATTTTCTGTAACAGAGAGTAGCTTCAAATTATTTCCATCTCAGAGCTCTCTTTAGTTATAGAAAGTCCTCAGTGATCCACTTGTAGTGTAAATTTCAACTATTATTTTATCTACAATGTATACTCTCCTCTGTAAAATTAGCAAACTTTAATATATTTCTTAAATGACTTAGAATATATGACCAAGAATAGGAAATGCTAATGACATTTTCCCTAGGGAACACAGGGAAGTAATTTATTATGTGAGGAAGAAATCAACAGATCATTTTAAAAGTGAATTATTATAAAACCTCTTCTGCAGAATAAAATGTGAAGAAAACATCATTCTCATTCTCATTTAGTGCAATGATCACTTGAGTGGTTAGCGGGGTCCTTATCTCTAAGAATACTGAAGCATATATCCAAATGCATGGACGTTAGGAAATAATGTACTATGAAGTGTGACCTCATGAGTACAGAAATACTGGGGATAAAACAGATAAGGACTTTAGAGGGAGATTAAACCTAAGAATGTTGTATTATTTTGATTGATGCTATCAATAAGGGAAATTAATGAGATTTTTCTCATCTTTAGGAATATTATGTTTCTTGTTCTGAAAAACCAATAGGAATACCAAAATAGATAAAGAGAAAACAGAATTACTTACTGTTAAAAATGTATCCACTGCAACATAATATTAAAAAAAAACTTAATATTTTAAATCTTAATATTTTAAATAAGAAACATAATAGCAACCACACAAACTAGTTCTTCCATGAAGGAAGAGTGTGATTCTTACGTTTTTTCATTTTCCCAACAGCAAGGAAATGCTAGGAATACATTGAAAAGTGTACTTTCAGTTCCATAGGAGAAACAGGCTACACTTGATATTTCTGTTCAGTAAATTTTCTAATATACCTGGCAGTATAGCCAAGAGAAATTTAGTATATCATACACAAGAGAAATTTAGTAAGCCACACACTTCTTTTGATGACCATGAGGATTTACTTGAACTTAAGAAAAGAAAAAGAAACAAAAAAGGGCGTACATATTCTCTTAACATAAAAATGAGGTTTAAACACACTTTCAAAAGGCCAAATTTCCTTAGAAATTAAGATACAACTTTATTTTTTCTTTTTGGCAGGCAGAGTGGACAGTGTGAGAGAGAGACAAAGAGAAAGGTCTTCCTTTTCCATTGGTTCACCCCCCAATGGCCACTGAGACCAGCACACCGCCAGGAGCCAGGTGCTTCCTCCTGGTCTCCCATGCAGGTGCAGGGCCCAAGGACTTGGGCCATCCTCCACTGCACTCCTAGGCCACAGCAGAGAGCTGGACTGGAAGAGGAGCAACTGGGACAGAATCCGGAGCCCTGACTGAGACTAGAACCCGGTGTGCCGGCGCCGCAGGAGGAGGATTAGCCTATTGAGCTGCGGCGCTAGCCCAAGATACAACTTTTAAAGCAATCATTTTAACAGGTCCCTGAAAAGAATTTCACTGTTGATAGCACCACACTGATGAAGAAATGGGAATTTTACTGTTGATCCATCAGTTCTAAAAACTTAGTGTGTATCTTTTATACTGTAGTCACATTCCTAGGGAAGGTTTCACTTACAAAGAGGATAATGACCTCACAGAGTTAAAGTGACCTGCTCAAGGTCATACAGCTATTAAGACTCACAGCCAGGATATAAGTTTAGGTATTCTCTTTCAAAATAGAATTGCTTTCCCCTACACACAATCCTGCCCTCCAAATACCTGTGATCTAACAGAGGAGATGAACAGAGCTCAAAGATAAGAGATTAAGGGAGCTCAACTCCGACACTCTTGTAATCCTCAAGCCAAGTTGCTGATGTTAAATTTGAACCTCAGGTCTGATCACAGAAGTTTCCATATTATTCCTGATATCAGTCATCATCTTGTACCCAGTTCTGGCAGTTGTATGCCTGGGTCTACATCCCTATGTTGCTTTCCTCAAGTATTGTAAAATACCTCAAGTATCTCATAAAGTGGGGTCCTGCTTTACTCTTGGCAGGACTACAGTCCTGTCTATCCTATGTCTGGGATTTTTATTTCTTTTAAACAGATTCCCATTGAGTTCAGAGTCTGCTCTGCAAGTTATCTAGAAGTTTCTAGTTCCTATACTGGCATACTCCTTAGTTCAGGCTATCATTATACTTTTTTTTTTATTTGACAAGTAGAGTTATAGACAGTGAGAGAGAGACAGAGAGAAAGGTCTTCCTTCCATTGGCTCACTCCCCAGATGGCTGCCATGGCCAGTGCTGCGCTGATCTGAAGCCAGGAGCCAGGTGCTTCCTCCTGGTCTCCCATGTGGGTACAGGAGCCCAAGCAATTGGGCCATCCTCCACTGTCCTCCCTGGCCACAGCAGAGAGCTGGACTGGAAGAGGAGCAACCGGGACTAGAACCCGGCGCCCATATGGGATGCCAGAGCCGCAGGCGGAATATTAACCAAGTGAGCCATGGCGCTGGCCCTATCATTATATTAATATGAACAACTACATTAGCCTGACTGGGTCCTTGGGTTTAGGTAAAATATCCCTAAATCATCTTCCACAGTACTACAGAAATCATTATATAGCATAAAACCAGTTATTTCCTTTCCACTAAAATTTTTTCACCAGATCTTCAAAATCTCTAGATAAAAGCCAAGCCCCTCAATACAATTTATAATTCCTTCTCACCTCATTGACTACCACTCACTCCAGTATATTTTTTCATAGTTATATCAAACTTCTTGTTATTCCTGAGACAGAAAAAAATAGCTGTATGCCTGAGCCTTTGCATATGTTGGAATGTCTGAATCTCCTCGCATTCTCATGGACAACTTTTCATTATTCCCTTACGTAACCACTGGTATTACCTCAATCATTGGGACTTTTTTCCAGAGGCAAAATTTGATACTTCTGCTCTTGTGTTCCTGTTGCACTTTTTAAGTCAACGTTAAGGCACTCCCACCCTGCACAGTCACGTGTTATTGGCATGAAAGCCTTGAGGGACAGAATCTTCTGTATCATGTGTGTGCCTCCATTGGTTTGTTCTTCCCATCTCTGCACTAACCTCACTACTTCCTTTTGAACTCCTAAATCCTGTTATTGTATTTTCTGTATCAGTGTCAATCATACTCTTTCCCAGGACAGAGAACACAATAATCCAGCCTATAGTGCCTCGGCCTACTGAGAATTTTGAACTGAAGGAAAGGAGCAAGATCTTTCTGACCTTCTCCTGTCCGACTTTTTCCTACTCTGCATTCTTCTGCAAGTTGGGCCATAGAAACCAGAGTCCTTCTCCCTTCAAATCAGCCATAAAACCTAGAAATATTCTATCCTTCCACCACCTGGCTGTAAAGAAATTCTCTGACCTACCTTATATAGATCCTAGGACCCACCTTCCAGAAAGGGTCCTATTCCACACTGAGGAGCAGGGAATGCCACATAGAGAGACCAAGAACCATTTGAACAGACAGCCCTTGGTGGATTCAGTTGATGACGACTGTATCATATCCTTGTTGTCCACTCACATTTCTACATGATTGTCCATTTTTCATCCAATCAAGTCATAAAAAATAGATTCCCTTGAGTCTTTGGGTCTTTATTTCTGAAGGCTCCCATGCCACCTAAGACTTTGATTACTCTTTTATACTTTTCTCTTGTTAACCTGTCTTTTATTAGAGGAGTGTTGGCTATATTCATGATGGGTGAGGAAAGGGGTCACATCTCTGTCCCTGCATAAGCAGAGATTTCATCATATTGAAATTTCAAATTGATCAGAAATAAAGGAAAACTAGTGCACTGACAAAATAGAAGTTATTTAAGATAAAATACACATATATAAATATATGCTTTATAATATTAATGTTATTAATTATATATTAGTATAATATAATACTTTGTATTTCTTGAGTACTTACTATTTACATAGCAGTTTTCGGTATCACATGAGTTTTTATTTGACCATTCAACTTTCTCTCAAATTAAAAGTACTCCTTGAATATTGAAGTCTTATTATCAGTAGTACAGGATCAATTTTCTCATCAATGCTTTAAAAGAAATACGTCTTTCCTCTCCCATTAATACTTTTTCTTAAACTCTAATGTCAGGTACAAAATCTTAAGATCTAATATCTCCAAATTAAACAAGTTGTTGGGATACATTCCCATTTGTTTTGCTTGGGACAAACCAGAAGACCATAAGAGGCATAAAGGAGAGAAAGGCCCTACTCACCAAACCATGCCTGCTGGTCTCCTTGTACTTCTATGGCTAAGCCAAAGTCTGCCAGTTTCACAGCTGCTCCCTTGGATTTGCTAGCTAAAAGCAAATTCTCAGGCTTTATTTAGAAAGAAAAAAAAAAAGAGAGGCTAGAGTGAGAATCTATTTTAAGTGACTATTCAAAACTAACAACATTTTATAAGAATAAGGAGGAAAAAAAAGTCATGCACTGTCGTCTCTCCCGGAGACTGTCATTCCTAAATCCCAGGGAAAATATGGTTAGAGAATGAATAAAAACAGTCATGTGTGCAGGCTTCAGACAGATGCATAAATGAAATGGAGAGATACTGGGTAAAAGGGATAATGTAATTGGGGAAAGATTAAATGAATGAGAGCACCTGTCTTGACCTGCTCACATGCTTTTAAAGACCACTTGAGGTCCAGATTTGGACATGGACATTGACTTAAGCCTAACAGAGCACAAAGATTTTAAGCAGAAGGAAAATTGGCAAAATGATAATGAGAGTTGGGCCAATCTACAGACATTTGGCAAAAGAACTGTGTAAATTAAATAATAGCTCACTTCAAAAGTTTGGACCCAAATGTAGTGATTTTTGATGCTTTAGTGTTTCCAAACAATTTCTGTAGAAATTTTGGAGAGTTAGTCTGAATGATGTACTAAATTTGCTGTCTTTAAGAATCTGTTTATTCTTAAAGGCACAAAGAGTATACTACTATTTGCCAAATGCTATAGATAGCTTTTTCGTTATGCCAGTTTTTTAAAACATAAATTACATTTCTTCAAAATGTGATTCAAAAACGTTCCTAATATTTAATTCTATAATATCAAAATTCCACAAGATATAGTTCTATTTTATAGGGTATTTATCATTACTTAAGGACTGATAATTCAGTTTTGGAATAAGGCTGTGTCTATACCACTGTTTCCCATCCAGCACATCAAGAAACATTGGTACTGTGAAAATAAGCACCAGGGCAAAGGCTTCAATTTCCCTGGACCCTCTTTGTGGATTTTAAGGAATGAAGGCAGATAGTCAGGAAAAGGAGGCTGATTACTGTATACAATAGAATCTATACAGCCCCAGCTATCAGGATGAACATATGGTTAAATTGGCATATATATCAGAGGGTGGGTCAAAGACTTCTTAACTTGGAATAAAAACCAGAAAATTTAGAGCTATGTCTCAGACTGAAAAGAGCTGGGAAACAATGGACTCTACAAGTGCCAAAACAACTAAAATTTCAGCCAAATTTGTTTTATTTGTTGACAAACAAGTAATTTTGAATTATTTCATCAAATTGACTACTTTTTTTCTTATTGAATTAGTCAATTCAGTTGTTTGTTTTGACCTTGTGTAAAACACAGCCTGACCCAGTATTTAATTTGTTGATTAAGCCAGCCATGCAAATTAGCAAAAACCCATAACCAGAACTCGAAGAAATTTTGTTAAATCTGCAAGAAATTAGAGTGTGGGGAAGTAAGTTTTAATCAAGTACCAGACTCTTCTTCAGGCTATTGCTTCTCACTGCCATCAGATTCATTGCTATTATGACAACTGGTGAATGTGATGAAACATTTGTAATTTTGTAGGGTTCATGGGGTTTCTGAACTGCCTCAGCCCTAAAAACACAATTCAGTTGGAATCTGGGATGAAGATATCTCAAGAATACAAAAGATATTCATGCCGAAATAACTTTATTAAGAGTTAACATTTGAAATTATTTGGAACCGTTGTTAACTCTCAATATACTATAGTATCTAATTATATTAATTATTTGTATTTGACATTTGATTCTCACAACTAAAATTTATGGCTCACTATGTTCATGCATTTTCCGATTTAATTGGGAAGTGATTTCCAACTGCTATATTAGGGATTAAATATTTGGAAAATCTACATCAAAATGTAAGCAATAGTTAATTCTATTTTTTCCTGAGCTTCACATGAGAATGCACTGGGGTTTCAGAGATCTCTGCTAATTCACTTATGTCCCAATTTATCAATCATAGACTCATTCAAGGAAGAGTTCTAATCACTGAGAAATCACTGTCATTTTAGGACTTTTACATCAAGTGATATTGAAATTTGTTGAGCAAATGACAGATCATGAGTGAATTAGCTTTTTAAAATTCATTGTGCTTTTACTCTTATCACTAAATCAAAAAGGTTCTGGGCAATGCTGTGTGCATTATGCCCTTAAACACCAAGGATCTGCCATTTCAGAAGAAAAGGAACACCTCAGAGATTCATCATGCATGACCTCTGAGTGACTGAGGCAAATATTCAAAACTAGAGCTGCTCTAAAGACCTCACTGTAGGGCCTTGTGAGTCACCAGGAAAATAACAGGTCCATTTGGTCTTTGTTTCACTATTCCCATGAAGACTGTTCAGCTGCAGTTATGTTACAGGAAGAGGTAGGTGTATTTCAAAGTGATTGTATAGATCTATAAATTAAGAGCACTAGAATAGCTTCATGCTGATGTATGCCTTCTAAGTAATTATGGAATATAGACTGAAAAGTGATGATGATTATTTGCTTTGTTAAAGGATATTTTGCTTCTTAATGTTTTCTCACAAGACTGATTTAAATGGCCAACTACAATGAAACATTAAATATATTACACAAATTCCATTTCTATATATCCCTTTGAAATGTGTTACTTTGAATAATAATGTCAGACCCTGCAAAGGTATGGGAGGCTTAATCACAAAGAATTTCTAAAGCAACATTTTAACCAGGACAGGCACATTTATTCTAAGCTTCTGGAATCACTACCACATATAAAACCTCCAACTTAAAAATGCATGCACTAAAAATGTTCATTTCCAAGTAGGTTAGTTCAAATTCTGAATGTTTACAGGAAGAAAGATAATTTGTGGTTATATTCCACCAAAGGAGAAAGAGTAGACTCCTAAGCAGTGGCTACCTCCTTAGGAAGGATCACCACTACATGCTTATTTGCTACTGTTTCACTAATTCAACTTGCTTAGAAAGGTGAGAAACATGGACTTCCAGTGCAGCTACAGTTGATTAGGGGGCATAGAGAAATATGAAGCATAGTGATTTAAAAAATGTGAAAATTTGGGTTTATGTCCTGGCTCTATATGGACTTAGGCCACTTACAGATTGTAGGAGGTAATTAATTAGTTTTTTCATCTCTCAAATGAAGTATTAGGCTATTAATTTCTATCTTGTGTTAGTACCTAAAATTCAGTGGGATTTTATCACATGAGCTCTGTTCTCTGTAGGGATAATATACAAATTAGTGATTGGCTATTACATTCCAGTGCAGCTGGCCATTTCAATATGCAGAATACTTAATATTTGTAATGGATGTTCATGACTTGAGAAATGTCTGTATGAATGAAGTCAACTTACATGCAATCTCTTATGTTAGTCCTTACATATTTAAATTAACTCTAAAGTTTTACAAAGCAATCACTTTTTAGGTTAGCTTTTAAATAGATTCTATTGATATTCTCACACAAAAGTTCCTCTCCCACCCCACTGCTTCCTAATGATGCAGGATTTTCCATGACATCTGGTCTCAGTGTCAACAACCATTTATAGCACATCAGCTGTAATGAGCAACAACTGTTTGTGAGTTTTATTCTGTACTTCCATATGGATACAATGGCAAGTTTTTCAATATGACTCAAGATTTTCTAGAAATTGTTCAATATTTGAAATTACTGAGGCAGGCTGCCGGAGTCATTTTAGAATTGGAAGAGAAATAAAGGTAAAATACCCCTCATTTTCTAAATAATGTAGGGAAGTCCAAATAAATGAAGTAAATATTTGAAATCAAGTTTCTCTTTTAAAGAAGTGACACTGGGGGCCATCGCAGTTGGTTAACGCCCTGGCCTGAAGCACTGGCATCCCATATGGGCGCCGGTTCTAGTCCCGGCTGCTTCTCTTCCAATCCAGCTCTCTGCTATGGCCTGGAAAAGCAGTGGAAGATGGCCCAAGTCCTTGGGCCCCTGCACCCACGTGGGAGACTCAGAAGAAGCTCCTGGCTCCTGGCTTCAGATCAGCACAGCTCCAGCCATTGGGGCCAATTGGGGAGTGAACCATTGAATGGAAGACCCCCCCCCACCCCCACCTCGAACTCTCTTCTCTGTGTGTAACTCTGACTTTCAAATAAATGGATAAATCTAAAAAAAAAAAAAAAAAAAAAAAAGAAGTGATACTGAGGGAAACTTTTCAATGGTACACAATATGTTCATTTCAAAAGGTAATCCATTCAGAAGGTACTTTCAGAAGACTCTGAAATATCCAAAAATATTTACTATCCATATCCAAATAAAATAGGGGGGGAAATTCATAAAAAAGACAAAAAATAGTTTTCATCTTGCTTCTCTAATTAGCATGATCTTGACTAAGGAACATATTTAGCAAAGGTGATGATCATCTTCAGCATTAGTCATACCATCGATTTATCTGGGTACAAATATGGTAATTTGCCAATCAATAAGACTCAACCAGTCTTATAAATATGAACCATATACTTCTCTCTTATGCTTCCTTCTCTTTTAAATATTGAAAAGCAGTTATTATTTTTATTATTCTATATTATTTGATTCTTATATTCCCTTGGCTATTATTTTTAAGGAGTAAAAATTATCTTCTAAAATTCAAAAATCTCACTAATTCAACAGGAAGTTACCTATTCAATGCTTTGGTGTGTTTTATATTATTTTTCCTTTGCCTAAGAAGGTGGAACAAAGCTCCCAGGAATTAATGAAATGGAATTTTGGCATTAATTGATTAACTTTAACATAAAACTCACTTCTTTCATTCATGTGCATGGCAAAAATGACTGTAGCTTTATTTTTAATGAATGCCTGGATGCATGTTCTTTTTTTTTCCTTTAAAGATTTATTTGGAAGTCAGAGTTAAGAGAAGGCCCCAAATAGCTGCAGCAGGCAAGGCTGGACCACGTTGAGGCCAGGAGCCAGGAGCTTCTTCCAGGTCTCCCATGTGGGTAGCAGTGGTTCAGTTACTTGGACCATCCTCTGCTGCTTTTTCCAGGCCATTTACAGGGAGCTTGATTAGATGTGGAGCAGCTGGGACATGAACCAACACCCATATGTG